GATGGGGATTTTAACTGAAAACAAACTGACCTCGCATCTGGCCAATATCCAGGGTATTTTAGAATTCGGAGTACATAGGAAAATTACATCGTGAAATAATGAATGCTCTTGGAATTGAAATATTCTTGCTTCATTTGACTTATGAAATATTAATGATTTAGGAAGGCTAAAATTAATTGTTCTTTATTAGGTACACCGGTCATTTGTCATTCAGATCAGGTGTTAGAAAAGGGCACCATTGACTGACAGGCAGTAACTCAGTAAATCCGCATCAGAATCATCGATCATTGTTCACTATTTCCATCATAACTTCCCCAAAATTCACTCTTAGTTATCTCCCATTGCCTCCTGGTAGCACTGACTTTTGTACAGCTGAAATTGGTGAACTTTGAGAATGTTGTGGACGGGTGCTGAATTGATCCTCACGTCATGTAGCTACTTCCAGTATGTGGCCGGTCAGCAACACTTCCAGTTTCCTTTCCACTAACTTCCACATTCCACTAATATTGTAGTCATTGTTAGGAGAAATATTGGGCAATCTGGATTCTCTTGTTGAAATATGGCTGCTGTTTGTCGTCGTGAGTTCCTTGTCAATATGAAAAATAATATTTTTAGGTGTCCTTCAGGATACGACCGAGCCAACTGAAACAGGTCCACCATCTGGTTGCCGTACCTATTCCTTTGCACTTTTTGGGTTTCTGGCCAATCAGAAAACAATACTGTTTAGACTGGGTATGCTCAGAGCTGTGGATAGAGACCTTGGAAAACTTCCCGCATGGGTACCATATTGACTCCAGGCGCGCTCTTCTTCTACCCATCAGTTCTTACTCTTTCCCTCTCACGAGGCCTTCGGATTATGGAAACGCAGTTGACCTTTTGAGTTGGCTTCTAACTCCATGAAGCTGTTTTTATCGTACTTCATACGACCATGATCTTGAGAGGAGAGCGTAATATGAACATGGGATAGGCCTTCAGAGGATTATTCCTCTGATATACTTTTACCACTGCCCTTACACACCATTCCTCCAGTGGCTCATAAAATTTCAAGCCTAGACATGGAGTAAGAAAAGAAATTGGCCCATCCCTCGCTAAAGATAGGGAGTGACGTGAAAAAGTACTATTCAGGGAAAGTCATACATTCTTTAACATCAGTGGCTGACTCGTTCCTGAGGCACTGGATTAACAGCGGGAAAACAAATTAATGCACAAATCAATCTCGCTTTTTTTCGCTTCCTCTTAGCTCCAGCCAGAGTCTGAAATTTCTGTCCAAGACCTGCATTGCGATTCCAAAGCATTTTGTAATTTTAACTCAGTTTCTTTCGCACTTTCTCTCACGCAATACTATCCGCCCAGTGAGACTAAATGCTTTCAATAATGCCTGAAATATATTCTGAAAATGATAAATGAGGCTGCCTTTCTTGAATACCTCCGCCGGTGAGAGCAGGAGTCTTCTTAGTTAATGTCACTTTGTTCCCAATTACGTAATGCCAGAAACACATTTCAAATTCGTCTAGATCACAGGTTTCATCCCAGACAGCAAAGCATGCGGAGAGTCGAAGGAATCTCTTACTTTTCTTCTTCATACATACGCGAGAAGAGCATTCAGGAATTACGCCAGGAATGCCATATGTAGCTCACATTCTTGACTAATAATAGATACGAAGTAAACTCCTACTTTCGTTGGTGCTACGAAATGGAAGCAGAAGCAGGAGTGTCAATTGCTCCACTTCATCTGGGGGACAATGAGGCAGAATAGTGTTGTCAAAATGGCGTCCATGAATCATGTGATTCAAAGTCCTCCAATCCCAAGCCACGGAGACTCAGACGGAGTTGCCCTAACTCTCTCTATCCAAGGCTCTGGGAATGCTTGGCTCCGGGCGACATCTGTGCAACCCTCGATGAAACATAGGATGTCTCACCAAAGAGACATCTACGGGAACTCAGCGCTCAGATACAGGCAGTCCCTGTATCGACAGAAGCGCTGCAAAACTGTCTACCACAGCTCTGCCGTCTAACAGTGTCTTGATATAGTCAATAATGTTTCATCGCATCATACGATGCTTTGATGAGGGGGTGTAGCGGTGGTTCAATGAAACGCTCTGAATTACGTTAACGATGCCGATGCATTACTATACAGTAAAGGGTGGTTAAAAAAAAAACGCTCTACCTTTTTCTATGGGAGAAACCGTTTCGTAAATGTAGAAAAAAAATTAAATTGGATACGCGATCGATATTTGACAGCTAACTATTGTTTAAATACTTGCCAGCTTTTTTTCAGCACCCCTCCCTAAGTTATGCAATGCCCATTTGGAGGTGAATTTAAGGTACTCAGAGATGGATCATTCCACCTCAAGTGAGGTGACCGTCTGAGAATTCAATGAATTTTTCAACTTTAACTTTTCAAGGGACAGTTGGGTCCAGCTGATACTTGACAGAGAGGTTCATGCGTCTAAGGGTTTTTTTTTTCACTTCCGCAAGATGGCGCTGTATCCCGATAGAGGTCCTTGTTGCTGACCGGGTGATCGAAGGTGATTTAAAGAAAGTTCCAACGTTTTCAAAGGGGAGAAAGTACGATTCGTGCATTCGAGTAAAAAATATAAGGTTCATAAACTCTTGATATTGGACATAGGAAGTGTTGAAAAGATTGCCTTGTTTTTTTTTTCCGAACAATTTTCTGAGCCATGTATTGTCCTGTTACACAGTTTACATGTGGAGCATTAAGCATTTTTTTTAAATCACCCTGGGTCACCCGGTCAACTGCAGCGCCCTCTATCGGTATACAGGGCCATCTTGCGGAAGTGAAAAAAAAAAGAAACCCTTAGACTCATGAACCTCTCTGTCAAGTATCAGCTGGATTCAACTGTCCTGTGAAAAGTTAAAGTTGAAAAATTCATTGAATTCTCAGACGGTCGAGCACAGGTAATCACCTCACTTGAGGTGGAATGATCCATCTCTAAGTACCTTAAGTTCAGCTCTAAATGGGCATTGCACGACTTAGGGAGGGGTGCTGAAAAAAAGCTGGCAAGCATTTTAGTACTTGTAAACTGTCAAATATCATTCGCGTATCCAATTTAATTTTTCTTTGCTACATTTACGAAACTGTGTTTCCCACATAGAAAACGGTAGAGCGTTTTTTTTTTAACCACACTATATATTGATGCGGCAAGAAAATTGAACGACAAGTGGTTGATGAAGATGCGACTCGACAGAATTTTAAATTGCTGCAGTTGACTTCATTGGACACTGAGTTGATCCATGGACTTGATAGAAATAACATGAATATTTTCTGCCTAAAATAAAATTCGGCTGTCTAACATTGCAATGAATTTCAGATTCAATTATCGGCAGACGGGAGATTAACGTAACTATAAACTCGAGCTTAAATCTCCGATGCAAAAATATGATGCCAGCGATACTGTCATGCAGAAACAAAGCGTCACAATAGCATTGACATCGGGAAAAGGCGGAAAGAAGAGACATACATGATGGCCAAGAGAGGGTAGCTGAGCTGATAGGACCTGGAAAGCCAAAGCAGACATTCAAGGTATCAGGCTCCCAGATAAGGATACAGGGTCCAGGGGAAAAAAAAGGCGATTGGAAGTCGGGAGAAAATGTAAACAAATGCGATAACGTATACAGATGGGAACCAGCCAGCACTGAGTTTGTCTGAAACGTTCTTCCCGTGCTGTCTCACCTACATATAGCCATCTTCTCTGCTGTGCCAATTGTAAGAATTTCTGTCAAAATGTGCGATAAATTTGATAGCAACTATCGTGGAAGGGAATTACTGCCGTCTGTTGCCTTGCTAACACGCGAAATCTTGCATACACCATCCAAATAGTTTGTTGCAAGGCGATTAGCAGCCGAAAATTATCCCTGAGTTATATGTGTCTTAACCCTTTCAAGCACTTTTTTTTTTCCTAAAATCACCATTTCTCTGTTAACCCATTCAGGCATCAAGCCGTCAGACAGACCGATTGGTGCCTGAATGGGCTAAAGCGACGTTTTCTACGAGTTCTCAAGAGAGAGGTCCATGTTTCATTTAACCCTCATCCGGGCAAGCTTTTTTACAACCTATTCCGGGCAACGTGAGTCTGTCAGACTCATGTAAAATAAGGCCGTTTGCTGCGGTACGAAATATGTCGTAGTGAGTCCAGCGGACTCACCTTGCCCGGATTAGGGTTAAAATAAAAATTACCATAACTTATGTAGACCTACTGCCGTAGTACTGTAGGTCCAAGGTCAATTTTATATTTCCACCGTTTTGCGTTACTTAGGCTTTAATTTTCAGGGTCTGAAAAATAGAAATTGAGTAGGTGGTAAAGAAAATGTAATCTTCAAATCCTTTTCCAAATGTCAAAAATTGGATGGTCGTGTGGTTTTTCTGCAGTTTTCCCGCTGTAACTTTCCATGCAAATTGTTTCTTGTGGAACATGGTTGTACAGAAAGTAACAAATCTGCATCATTTACATTTAGCCTTTTAAAGTAACTAGAGAAACAAGTTTCCAAATAGGGTTTGACCCACTAAGTCCAAATTTTTTTTTCTGTTGAATTTATACAAATATTAATTAATTTAAAAACACTGTGACTAAGATGACTAGTAAAACTAATAAACATTTTTGCACTCATGATATATAGTCAAAACAGGGTGTCCTATGAATGGAACTGGGACTTTTTGAGGGGAATTATTTTTTTACACATTCTTAGTCTCTCAAGTGTTGGTCCTATTCATTGCAGGGCACCATATGTGCACATTTGGGCAGGTAATGATAATCTAATATGCTTTTATTGCATGTTCCTCCCTTGTGTCAAAGATATGCTATAATAGCTGTGTGCACACCAGCTGAATGGCAGGAAAGTGAAGAATAGTAATTCATGCACTATTCTATATTCTAGTGCATTTGCTGAATGGATCTAATTTTGTATTTGTTTTTACCTCAAAGTATCATAGAGCAAAAGCCAACTTGATAAGTACCTAAAGCCCTATTAACAGTTTCCATTCACCTCACCTGCGCATGATGAAGAAGTTCCCGAACACTGAGAATCATGTGCATGACCCGAATCTTGAGGAGATCATCAGTGACATGGGACAGGTCCTGTGCCATGACAGATGCAACTTTCCATAAAGGTGTCTCAGGTGGGATGACTTGAAATACAAATATCCAATTCCCACGCTCATGCTTGAGGTGTTCTCCAAGGGTTTGGTGCTTCAAATCATTGAATAAGGAGTTCTGTTGTGGTGACGATAAGGTCCTTCCCAGTAGATGACGTCTCCACTTCTTCATACGAGAGAGCGGAAGGTCAACCTCCCGATCCGACATTCCCACCTGTAGCACCTACACCATACAGATGAGCTGGCTCATTGACAATGAATAATACATCCAGAAGTTCTGAAAATGTCCATGCTCAGTTACTGCTGTTTCCATGAGTCTGGTTGGTAAGGCAGAAGCCATTACTTATGAACTACATGCTGTTACTTTCCATAATACCCCTGTGTGAGTCATTCCTAATCATATATATAGCCCTAAACAGTTGAATGAATACCCTTTACTAATGTAAATATAGAAAAATTAAAACCCTGCAATAGACTAAGTGCTCAATTGAAGCAGTTCAATAAGTCTAAGGCATTACGAAACACGAGAAATGTAATTTCACATTTAATATGTGTGGAGCTAAGACCAGGCAAAGAGGGTATAGGCCTCAGGTTAATCCCTGGGTGGGGAAGGAACATATCAGACGATGAAAGTGTTTTGGGTTGTCACACTTGCAGGCTTTGAAGCCCTTTCATTATACTTCAGGCAAAATGTGAATGGCTGCAGAAACATTTCCCATAGTAACACTTAAATTGGAGAGACTAGTTTGTTAACACTTTGGGATGAATATGAAGCACAACCTTCAGAACAAGGCAAGCTGCTTTTGAGTACAGGCAGTCTAATACAGCCCAAGATAACTAATAAATAAGAAGGCAAAACAAGCATGCCAACACTTCTTCAGACATGAATTTCAAAAAATCATTTTCCAATCACTGCAAAAATGTACTTCATATTTTTTTTTTTTTTAGGGAAAGCTTCAAACATGACCAGGAGGAACAAACCTCAAATTTATGATCTGAAATCATCTATTGCTTCTCACAGGCCAAAAAACCAAACTGTCAATTAGCTGCAATCAGAACATGAAATGTAGCCATAAAACATCATATCCAAGTTCAATTAAACCCAATTTTTCCCTCTTGTAGACCTGGAGGTACAATAATATTTCTTGCTTGTTGATAATAGGGATATCATTTTGCCTAACTTAACATTTTGCCTAAATTCTATGGATCCATATATATTAATGAATACAATTTTTGACATGCTGATAAGCAGATTTAAGTAGGTACCTTTCCGTATTAAATCAGTCATATCAATGCATGCCTTCTCTGTCCAAATTACCAACATCAATTCGATCGGCACCAATTTTTGTCTGAGCATTTATATACATATTTTACTTTAAGGTGTCTCAGAAAGATGTATACATACTTCAACAGTCTAGTATACAGTGACTGGTCCATCACCGCTGAATCTTGTTTGATCAGAAGACCAACTAATAATTTACACTGTACACTAGTGTAGGTGTTCAAAATGTCCACCATTGGCAGCCAGTCAGTATTGTAGTGGCAAAGAACAATACAACACACATCTGCTCATGTTTCAGTTGAAATAATGGAGCAAGCAGTAATGATGCTCTCTTAGAATTGCTGAAGAGTCACTGCTTTTGTGGCATACACTGTGTCCTTCAGGGAAACCCATGAGATTAAATCTGGGGTGTTCAATCCAGATATCATGGTGGTTTTCCTATTCACCACCCAGGAAATCACATTTTGCCTTCAGCCACAAATTTGTCTCTCAATTGTGCAATTGTGAGGCGTGTTGGGGGTGTCCTTCCATACTCATGTTCTATGCATGCTGCACCTCTGCTATGTAAATTTCTTAACAAATTTCCAGTGCCACCACAGTATCTGCTTGCACTGATGAAATTACAAACACACCTGTGCCATTTTGACCACACAATGACAATGGATGATGCTAGCAATTTAGAGACGCACTACATGTTGACAGCATTAGTTGGCTTTCTGATGGACAAGATGTCTTTGTATGCTAGATAATTTAAGTGCATATACTTCTATCTGGGACACCCTGTAGATGGTAGTGGCATTTGGTCTGTGAATTTGAGGAATGTTTGTCCTGACAGCAGGCAACTTCCATGGGACATTCAGTTATTTGAAGAAAATTGAAGTTAAATGACCCTGGCACTGAAAAGGTTAACTTGGGACTCTGATGCATGAGTTTCCATGAGTTTAACATGATATATGAATCTATATGGTGCACACAAGGTTCTTAAGGTTGCAGTTGACTTGAAATTAATTCAATGCAGACTAAAATATACTCTGTAAAATCCATTACTTCAAACACTTCCATTACTATCGGTGTATATAGACATATGCATTGATATTAATGGGCCTATAATTTATTTTTGCATCTACAAGGTCAGTCAAATGAAAAGTAATACCCACCATTAGAATTTTTATATTATTTGAATGCTAGATTGGATAAAGATCTAGATCAGACCATTCAAAAGACAATAAAACATAATATACAGGGTGTAATAATAAATGTCAGAAACCATAGGGAAATAACATGGGGATCATTACAGCCTATATTGTTTGAAACACAGAAAATAATCATTTGGCCAAGATTTTGCATGTATATATATATATATTTTTTTTTTTTTTCCTCCATATCTTGATAGGTTTGCCAGCTGTACTGCTTTTTCCAAGCTGTAAATTATATTCTTTTTTTGGATATTTACTTAATGTGTCCACATCTGACATGGCTTTATGGTGTGTCTTCTTGATTTCAATTCTTTTTTAAGTGAGGAAAATGACTCAGAAACGACTAACTACTTATAGGCATGTAAAATATGTTGCACTCTATTCTAAATCCTACCATAACAGGAACTGGTAAATAATGCAAGTATCAATGTCACAAGAACAGTAGCAAATGTTCTCAATGTCTATCAATTGGTGCTTCGATGAAAACTTTGAATGGTGAACAGGAAGATTTATCAACTGCTTCAAATTTTGATGGAGTTCATAGATAAAAATTCCTTAGAATTAGTCAAATTAATGTTGCAGATCTCAAGCTTGTCACTTTTAAGTGATGTTCTTGTTTGAAATGAAGTAACAAAAAAAAAGGTATGAAAAAGTATTTTCTTGGCTTTTGAATTATTCAAGCAACATTGCAAGCAATTACTTGGTCACAAAGTATAACCATTCAAAAGCTGGGAAAAACATCTTACTCACCCAATAGATATCAGTATGATAAAAATAATCAGCAACATTGTTCAACCTATGGATAAAGCAAATAAACCCTCAGCCCAACTCCAGATTTTTTAGTCAAGACATCCCCACATGCTGTTACCAGGCCTAATCATATCCCTACAACAGGACTAAGCACTTTTCCATGGAAATTTTCTCATTGCTCAAGAACAGAGAATCCTAGTAGAATCCTAGTAAACTGAACAGCTTCTGATTGGAAATCAGCAGGATCTGAGGTTCTGTATGGGTCAGTCTGAGATCTCCTTTCGGTTTTACTTTCCATCAGTGACCCTGAGATGAGGGAGCATATTTATATATACAGAATGACCATACCCTGTTGCAGCAAGACCTCATTATGCTTAAAAAATGGTTTAAGAAGTGGCAACTTGGCTTTAAGCCACAAATGCAGAGTGCTTGGTTGACACATGTACAAGTATAAGAAAGCAAAGAAAGGGGAGCCACATACTGCACAATTTATGACAGACATAACATGAATATTTTGGAGATAAAATTGCAAAACATAATTAAATGGTTAAGATCAGAGAAATAGAAAAAAGCTTCAGGAATAGGCCCTTCTTAAGGTAAGGAGACATGAAGAGAAGAGATAAAATGGGCAGAGGTCCTATATCTGCAACCTTGACCATTTTTTATTCATGTCCTTTTACATATTGTATCTTTCATACCATCATGCATTGTCTTCCTCTCTTTTATTCTTTCAACAGAGATACCAGTGCTTATCTCCCCATTTGTCTTACTTGGACATGTCTACTGAACCCTTGGCATTGGTGGCTTAAAATTGAGGAGCCACTTCTTAGACCATTATGAAGCATTTTGAGGTATAGCTGCAGCAGGATATGATCATCCTATGTATGTAATACATTTTTCCTGGAAAATGATCCGATCATATGATACAATCACAATAAAAAAATTATAACCTGATGATTGAGTGCACCCTCACCTCAAGGTCTAAGATGAAGTAGAATCAAAAGGCAACATTCTCTCCTTTATTCTCTAAACAAACTGTGGTGCCAGTGTGGGGCTCCCCCCAACTTACTTTCATGATTTTGCTGGTTCATTTTATCCTCTATATACACTCTGTCAAAAAAATTGTGGAACAATTTCCAATTTTCAGCTACTTGTACTTAATTGAAACAATCACAGTAAGCTTTTGAAGTCAGACTAATACATGAAATGAGCATATGCATGCAAGGCTAAAATCTCCATCCTTTGGTTCTAGAAATTCAGGAATGAATTTATTGCAAGACAGCAGTAAGAGAGTAACAGCCAGAACTGAAGGGAGTACCTGCATCAAAATTCAGAGATGGGCCTCATACAGGATTGCTGACATGATATACACAACCAATAAGATGAGTCCATTATTCATTCTTGTTTCACATTCAGAACCATCATTTAATGCATAGGCATATACCTTGGTCAAAACTCAGACACCCAAGCTGTATGGTTCACACTCTAATGCAACAGTTGCCTCCATGTCCCCTGAATGTGTGCCTTGAGATGGTTGAGGTCCCACCTTAGTCACTGGTAAACTTTCTCCATATCCAGTAGCTAACTGGATTTAGGTTAGTACAGTTGAAAGACCATAATTTCTGATCTTGGAACAGTAGGTTTTCTCTCCAGCAGGCTGTGCACAAGGGTCAAGAACCTTAGACTGGGATTACCTCCCAAAATAATAAAATCCAGTAATACCACTGAATTATTTTGAAAAGCTCTCTATCTTACGTCCTAAACAAATATACCTGTTGTTATCTCCCCTTCTTTCCCTCAAAAGCTAGATTACAATCCACAACAAACAAAAAAAACAGCACAATGCCTGGTAGTGCTAATCAAATGTAGCAATGAAATGGCAGGACCTCATCTGGGAAGTAATACCAGGTGTGCGATTAAAGAATTGTCTCATATTACAAACATTTGGAGACCCAAAGGTGAATGAGTCAAAGTGAGAAT